GTGGTAAAAATGGCACAAGGGGTAATGCCATTACCACCGAGGTTTGTATGCTATTTTATTCACAATCACATTATTTTCAGTCAAAAATTTGAGTAAAATAAAATTCTAGCAAAGTTAAAGTCCAAATGTGGTATGGCGTTTGATTTTTGACATTTCAGAAATGTTAAAAAAATATTGAAATAATGTGTGAATCTGATTTAAAATCATCGAAATGGAGAAGTGTACTCCCCCAGAAGTAAGAGAAACTGCTACAAGAGCAATTCAATACTAATTTAACAAAATATTATAAGTAACTTGACAATTTGACAGAAAAAATTCTCGGTATTTTTCTAATTTTAAGGATGGCTATCCTACATATTACCGCCCAAGAGAAGTAATGTTATTACTCCTCGTGAGATTTAATGATGTGTTTCCCAACCTTTAAAAGGTTAGTAATCGTCATATTACATTAGTGATTGTAAATAAAAATCGGCTCTACCGTGTTTTATATAACTTTTTTTTCACTACTAGCACATTTATTACCCAGAAAAACAACGTTTAAAAATATAACCCTACTTAATGAACATGTTGCTTCAGACGTAACATGTCCTAATTCACAACTACTATGTATTTTTGTTAATTTCCTATTACCTACAGTAATTAATTACTTACCTGAGTTATTAACTTAATTTGGAAGTATTATTTTCTTCTTATCATAAATGAGATTATGTCATTCTTGTATTCCAACAATTTATTAAAGGAATTTTCTAACTCCATAATATGAAATATTTGTTAAAATAACAAAGAAACAGCAAAAAAAAAAGGGAAAAAGTGTTAAAATTTGCCTCACTACCGATAGTATTTCAACAAGAAATAAACCCATTTTTTGTTTTAATAGTTTTGACATAGACAGAAGCATTAGAGTTGTGGTTATTCTGGTTATAATGGTATCTTTTACAGCTAGTAGTGAAAAAAATAATTGTTGATTCTGATAAAACTAGCAGTTTACGGATTTAATTAGGCAAAATTTTCAATTTAGATGTTACATGAGTACCTAGGTATACCTACAAGTTTTCTAATTTACGAACCTACAAAAAAACATGCAGTCATAAATTTATTTGCTAAAATTTTTGGTAATTTTTGTGAAAATAGGAAAATTGGTGTTTATTCGTTTTTTTCTCTCATTTTCACAATTTTTTACTCTGTAGGTACAGAAATTGTCACATGTTTTTGTTTTATTTTATGATTAATAAAAAGGTGGGTCCACACTAACTTGTTCTAGAAACACATCAAAACCAGCCTTTCCATTTTATAATAATTACAATTTATCGATGTTTGTAATTGCCATTTATATCTTCTAATCGCATGATTGATCACCCTATTTACATAAAAAATCACATTCCTTATTACAATATTCATAACAAAAATCTCCAAAGCAATAAACTCTCATTTGTCAACTCGTACATATCTATTTGTTAACACTTTCGATTGTCAATGACAGGAAGATACCAGGATATGTTACTTTTCAGCCCACATAAACTCCATTTTTTAGACTAAAACTTGCGATTTCACCATAAATGCAACTTTCTTTTCCTCTGAAGGCGTCCAATTTATTATTGTTTAATTAGAGAGGAAATCTCCTTGCGTCAGTTTCATTCAAACTAACACGATGCAAATTTGAAATTTGTGAACTTGACTATCACCTTGGGCAATGGCGCCCACAATAAATCTCATAATGTACCTCTCGTTTGATTCTTAAAAATAACCACATATGGCAACACCTCTAATTAGCGATTGAGTAGGCGTATGATCGTTCGACTTATTTCCACCAGTGGCGGATCTAAGAGGGGGCAAAGGAAAAAAACGTCTTCGAGAGAAAAAGAGTGCATTTTGTGATTTCTTTGTTTTTAGGGTCGATTTTTATTTTTTTTTAAACTTATAGACACAACAAGAAAAAACAAAAAATGTTTCATAGGACATGAGGTGTGACATGTTAGTTTTCATTTCTTCCGTTTCTGCATACAATGCTGTTAAATATTGCCAACTTAATTTCAAAGTTGCAGGCCATTCTAATCGGAAATTTAATTTGAATATTTTGAATTAGAGAATAAACAGTGCGAATCTACGCCACTGTTCCGCCTCTACCAATTGCCCAATCGCTGTCATCTTGGGCGAATATTCAGTCACCATTTTGCACTTTCGCACTATTACTCGTCAAGATGCACATTATGTAAGTGTTAAAATTTCCTAGAATAACAGCCTCGCACCTCGCACGTCTATTATTACGAAATACAGCCTCTTGCAACGGATTTTTCTCCTCTTCGCCTTGTTACCAAGTAATTAAATAGCATGAAGATGATTCACGAGAAGATGTAAAGCCTTTAGGGCGCTTTTAAAATACCGAAGGGCAAGTCTGCACTTATGCAATGATTCATCCGAGAAGTGAAAGGATAAGTCAATGTTATCCCACACAAATTGAAAAATTCGATAAATGGCATTCCTTCACTATTATTCTCGTTGTTTGTATAAAAATTTCATACACAGTGTATCCGAATTTTTTTCCATGACGGTTTGTTATTGAAGATATTTTATTTATTCAATTGATAAGGCGTTATCGGCCACATTTTTCCAATTATACAATGTCGGCTTTGATCGGTGGGAAAATTACATAAGCGGTGACTACAAGTTTATAATTGTTGTCTATTAGAGATGATCAGTGGATGAGGTACGCTACTGTATTCCTTCTTAGATTTTCAAAATTTGATTTTGTTACACACATAAATCAACAATGATAACTGATCGAATAGCATATCTTGAAGGAATTATTTTATCAAGACAGATGTTTGACTGTGAGGCAGACTATCAATATTTAATCGAAACCGTTTTTTTTTTTTTTTTGGAAGTAAGCTATTGGAATGACCTAGAAAATGGACACCCAACGCCTACGTGATTAGATTAAATACCTATCATATGGTTCCAGACACCACAATGGTTCGGCTACGTGAATTTTTACCAAATAAATACATTCTTTGTAGTGGCTTTATTTTAATACCTACCATGTTTTTTAATCGATTTTCAATATTGTAAAAGAAAAAAAAAATCACTATTTAATTTTAGTAATCACTAAAATTTGAGATTGTTTTTGTTTCTATCGAGACTTGAAAGTTTTTGGAGTAAACATAGTAGAAATGATATACCTAAACATAGACACTATCCGGATGTAACCAAAAGATTAATATTTTTTTTGATCTGAAAATTTCTTTTTTTTTAATATTTTGCCGAAACTATACCTTAAATGTTAAAATGTTGTGAACTATACTAAGTATGTTCATAAATTGATTGGCGTCAAAGAAACCGCAAAATTCTTAATACATAGTTTAGAAGTTATGATCGAGTAAAGATTTTGACTATATTTGCATTTATTAGCATTTTTCTTAATAACTATTCTTCGCAGGACAATGATTTCTTATTGTAAGAAAATTAAGTGTGCTTTCAAGTGGTCCTAACACTATTGATAATAGTTTTGGAGTTATTATTAAGTTATTATTAAATTTTGACTGATCCAAATTCAGTAGAGAAGAGAAGTGGCATAGCAATAGGAGAGCATGAAAATAAGAGGAAAGCATAATACGAGTAAGAGAGAAGAGTATTAATTACCTATTGCCAAAAACAAAGAATACGTTTAAAATTCTGATAAATTTTAATTTTTTTATTGAAATATCTATTGTGTTTCAGTTTTTGTTTTAATTTTTTTTTATATTTTTTTAATTTCAATATTAAAATCTCGCCAATATTTTTTTACAATTTTCTTATTATATTTTTATTTTTTTATTTTTCTCCAAACGGAGGGTGGTTCACTGTCAAAAATTCAAAGTAAAAACCAATGTCCAAAATACTTATTAAACAAATTATTCATACAGTAAATATCAAAGATAAAAAATCGGAAAGAACCAAAGACACTTTTGTGTAAAATGTTTGTTGCTAAAACATGTTTAAACAAAATAAAATATAGAAGTGAAATAATTTTATTCTAAAAATTTCAATGCTAAAATGTTCAGAAACAAAAATAATAGGTTTGCAGGCTCCGATTTTAAGATTTTAGCAAGGGCCCTGCGCAAGAATAATTAGCAAGGGCTGGAAACAGTGCGCACATGGTGATCAGTCAGTTTGATACGCCTTCGCCACTCCTTGCACTGCTGTGCTCTTGATACCACGATTTTGTTTTTGAACGTTTGGCGATATTCCCGTTGCTTGGAGACATTTTGCATTAAAATATTTTTATGCGTGCTTTTTTGTTAATAAACATTTGTTAATTTAATCCTTTTATTTCGAGGAGTTTTTAATTAAAAATTTTTGAAAATATTTGATTTTGTGTTTGAACATACAATTTATTTACAAACTTTTAGCGATTACATGGGCTCCTCTTCAAACAATAAAAAATATGTTTCAAATTGTGATATGTAAGTGTACAATTTTCTCAAAATTACTTGTCTCTTAATTTTCTATTGTCATTTTTTAATTTGCATTTTTATTACAAACACATTGTCTAGGTCAAAACAACTTTTGAAAAAAATCGTATAGGTATTTCATTTATTTTTTTTAATTTGTCAAAAACTTAAATTGAGAGCAGTGCTTAGCATTGAAAATCGCCACAAAGTCCAGGTGGTCCAACTTAACAAACATTTTGTGGCATTATTGAGTTGTATGGAAATACATATTCATTTACATTTATTTGTTGGTAATCAAATCCGGCTTGTGGGTCGATTGCCTCTTTTGTTTCGAAACTAATAAACGTTTCAGCTCTTCCAAACCAAAAACCGGAATATAATTTCTTATTTCTCCACCATTTAATGTTTTTACGTTTACGTCCCAATTCGCTATTGTTCCAACCACCGAATCCCCTCATAAACCATTACCACTCGCATAAAACCGATTTTTTATGATCGTGACCAGTGGTGGTGGAAGACAAGAAATTTGTGAGTCGTTGTGTAATGTTGTTAACATGCTTGTTTTTGTTCCAGGTAAGCTGACCGTGCTTTTATCACCACAATCAAGACGTCCTCGGATGACGTACAGCCCAAGATAGGGTGACGCTCATTAAAAAAATTTTCATAAAAATACCTTTCAACAAGGGATCACATGACACGAGGGTTCTTTTATTTCGTTAATTTATGGTTTTAATTGGTACTGGTGCACGTATGGCATTCCTTTCTTTATTATCAGTTAAGAGAATATGCGGCGGGGTATTTGGGAAGATGTTTATAGCCGGTTTCTTCGAAACATGGAAGAAGAAGAAGAAGCAGGAACACACGAACAATTACGGTGAGTTTTTAACATGTTTTCTTTACTCTTTATTAAAGCGTCTTGCCGATGAGTTTTTCCCCGAATTATTTCTTTCTTTCTAAAATAATAACGTAAACAAAATCCCTTCAGTCGAGTTCTGGAGTTAGTCGTGTCTAGAACACTGTCCTGTGGCTATCCTTTGTTCAGCCTTCTTGATATTTAAAGTTGATAGCTTTGGTATAGCCGGTAAGTCCGATGCGCCTTATAGTCACGATGATTGCTGATAACAGTCCTGTGGAAGCATACTTTACACCCCCCGAGTCCCCCTCTTTAAACCACGCCATCTAGATCGGCCGGTCACGAAGTGCACGCCATGCGTGATCACATCCACAACAAATATACACGGTGATGACTCTTCGTGGCGAAATTCCACGCTTCCAGCGGCACGTTCGGGGGTAATTTAAGGCCGAGGGCGTGTGACCCCTGAGAGAGTGTTTTAGTCAGTGTTGCCAAGTGGTGAAATTTTACCAGATCTGGTGATTTTCATGTTAGTCTGGTGATTTGGTGAAAACTTTTGTAAAAAGTCTAATATCTGGTGATTTTTTTGGAAATGAAAAAAACTGTTTTTCAAAAAAGTCGAAAAACCACCAATTTGCTTTGTTTTTTTTTTACGAGATTTTACCTACTAGACAGGATCAAAAATGACTACTTTTGTCTTTTTCGAATACTTTTTCAGCTAGAAGCAATTATTTCGCAAAATTTTGTTAAAAACAATCCAAAGATTCAACAAATTCGACCAAAAACCGCGTTATTTTGCCCTTTTCAAGTGTTTAAGCACGTTTTTGAGATAAAAACAAAGAATTCTAAAATTTTCGTTGAAGCAGACAAAAAAATTACAAAATTAAATCAAAATGGATATTATTTTTAGCTTGTTTCGTTCAACTTACTTTGTTTTTGAAACAGAGGCTCATTTATTTTGCAAAATCTTGTCCAAACTCGCCTAAAAATCACAAAAAGGATTGATATTGATGTTTTGTTTGTTTCACTCGATTTATCTGTTTTTTGAGCCAAATTAAGACAAAAGTAAGCTGAGAAACCACAAAATTTAGCCGAAAATGCTTTTAATCGCGTTTTTGTACCAAAATCTCAGGTTTTACGCTAGCTTTCGCTAAAATAAACTAAAAAATCAAGAAATTAAGTCTAGAATTACATTTCTCGAGCATTTTAGCACGTTTTTCTAAAAACGCAATTATTTCGCAAACATAGCCATACAAATCGTAATCTGGTGAAAATTTGTCGAATTTTTCAACTCGAATTCTATATTTTTGATTTGGCAACACTGGTTTTAGTCGGCTAGTGGCGGCGCAGCGATTCACTTAAATTTTTCGATAATTGAGCAAAATATGCTACTTTTTACCGATCTATTATTTGCTCTTTTTGTTTATCTAATGAAGTTTTGTATTTATCTATCCTTGTCTTAACACTGAGCTTCACTAAAACGTGAATCCACAAGCTTTTTTGTTTCTCAATAGAAAACAAATTTTTTTCCGAAAATAGACGAAGTTTTAACAACCTAACTTTTTGTAATTAATTTATTTGGAGTCAATATCAAAAATTAAAATAAAAAACATCGAAAAAATTATTTGCAGATGAACCAATTACGTTTCTAACAAAACCCCACATGTTTTATAATTATAAAAGTGGGTAGAACTGTAATTTATTTATTTTGGTGTACTTAACAACTATAGTTACTGCCAAAATAAATAAAAAATAAAATAGACAATTTGTTGAAAAATAAACCATGTCAATAAAAATAATGAAATTTTTTAGCTGATCTTGTATCTTTTTTTTCCTATAAATTTTAAAGTTTATTGATGTGCAGAGCTGCTTTATCAATAGAAATTAATTCATTTTAATAACTAAAGTGGCTTTTGCCATATGTCGCAAAAACAAAATTGCTGAAGAAACAGCCAGATAAATTGCTTCGTTACTTATTAATATCGTAGAACTGAAATTGCCAACATAACAGACCGTCAAATGGAAAGAAATGTTTTTTTAATTTTGATCAATTTTAGTCCACTTTTTGGAATTCTAAAAATAATGTAACCATATCGATAAAATCTTCGAGTTTGCCAAAACTCTTATATTACACAACACGTACTTACTTTAAATGACATATAAGTACTACTTTATGGACAATTTAAGAAGAATGTAATTAAATTAATTTGTTAGCACTATTGGTCTTGTTTTATTGAAAGAATTGAGAGAATTTTTGTGTCACGCAGTGTAGTGATTGCCTTATCTGTTAGATCTTGAGTGCCATTTCTAGCAAAATTCTTCAAAAACTTAAAATCAAAGCAAATTTACATAAAAATGTAATCCGCATAATTATTTAGCACTCTTGATAGTGATCTGTTTTTATTTTACGACCTCTCTTCTCTCGAATGTAGAAATCACCGTTAAATCTCTTCGATATCCCCGATTAATTGCCACCTGAAATCCCGTGGACTTTTTGCCGCTTAATGCTTTATGATTGAAGACGTTGTCGATTTAGGAATATTTACGGCTCCTTCCAAATTCCACAACAATTTATTAATACGAATTTACAGCATATTATATCCAAGCAGCACGAGAAAGAAAAATCCAACATCGAAATGCTGCCCTATCAAGGCTGTAAATCTCGACGGAGTCGAGGATATTTCAACGGCCACATTCACAACATTTTTCGTTAAAAGCGGCTGTCTTACACATAATCTATAACCAAAATTCAACTTCGACACGATCACGTGATCGAGGCATTTGTCGCAACCTTGAAGTCTTGCTCTAACAATTTCAATCAAGGTTGCCACCCCTGTGATTGTTGACAAACGCCAGTGGCGTAGCAAAAGGGCTTTCAACTAATTCTCTTCAGTAATTAAATAGTTTGGGCTATTTTGTAGGGAATTTTTGTTGTGGTGTTTTCAGAACAACATTTTTCGTTTATTATAGCAATTCCACTTCCATCAAGGATTTCAATTATTTTTATAATCAACCATACCATAAAGAAGGTAACAGCTTACTGTTAGATAAGGATAGTTCATTGTAAAACTTCATTAGATAGATAAAGAAAGGAAATATGTAAACGAAAACTGGAAATTTATTCGAATAAAGTAATTAACTTTCCAGATCCAGATAGGTAAAACACTGGTTTTAGCAAATATTTTATCTATTGGTGTTTATTGAAGTCTTTTTTGTATACGCTCATAAATACCAACAAATTAAGTAAAAAAATAAGCAAATTAAGTAATTTAAGGAAAATAAACTTGTCGATTAAGTCCTCGGGGAAATACTTGGTTAGGACAGCCTGTATGTGTGTTATTCAATATTTGCGACCTACTTTAGTAATAAATTACTCCAATTTTTGCTTTTGTGCGTTTTGATTTTGAACTCATGTTTTCGTTTTTTTTGTTCTTTTGTTCCACTCGACACATGTAAATCGGCCTAAGCCATCGACATCTAAATGAAAACAAACGAAACCTGCCGCCGCAGCACACTCTGATACCCACACGATAACAGTCCAACGAAAACCAGAGTTAGACACAATCTTACCTTTACCACCTCTCGCATTGTTCCGAGTTCCGAGAGAAGTCCAGCAACCAGTTGCTAAGAAACCGGAGATCTGTTCGTTTGCTGCGCACATTTTATCAATTTTCTCTTAGAAAAAGTGCGTAAATCAGTGTTGGGTGATGTCTGTTTTCGTGTCATTGGTGTAATCCAGTTGGCCGCGCATTTAAGGGGTGGGGATTGAAGAAGGTACGTCACGAATTTTGAAATTGGTTTTCGATTCTGGTAGACCTTGGTGTAATTTTTGAGGCCGCGTAGTATTTCTTGAATAAACAATAGAGAGCAAAGTGGGACAGTCAACGTGGGCCGTGGGCGGTTTCTTTCACAAATTCGTCGTAGCTTTGCCATTTCCTGTTTGGTGGTGGAAAAAAAATTTCAAATGTGGGCGATTTTGCCTCAACCACGGCCTACATGATTCGGGTTTCGGACACGGTGATAAAACAAGTGACTGTCATCGCCAGACAATACTATCTGGTTTACATCAATCTGGTGGTTACATTATGCGAAACAACCGCCGAACACGGGTACCAACCGAATTCCGAACACTCGGCCCTTAACAAGACAAGATCTGATTGATATTCGCCAGAGATAAGCTTGTGAAGAAGAGATAAAAGCCGGACTGGGGCGGTTTGAAATTGGTAATTTTACGAGTATTTTATGAAACTTCAAATCAGTGTCGGGAGACTCGGCCAGACCGTATAACTCAGATGGTGAAACCATGAAACAGCTAGTGCTTTTAAGCTTTGATTTTTTACCTAAACATTACAAATAAAGGGGAAAAGGAATTTTAAAAAGGACATAAATCCCTGTCACATACTCGGAAAGAATTTTTTGGCTCTTGTTCTCTTATCTCAACACCGATCAAAACTAGTCAACTGAAAAATGTCAGGCCTAATTTCAGATTTTAACGCCCAGGTTTCAAATTGACTTTTCTTCTTTTTAATTTTTTATTTTACCTTCTACATTTAATGAGAAATAAGAAGCGAGCTTTTGTTACGCATTATCGAAATAGTGTTTGTTTTGTTGTTTAAGTTTGGTAATTAGACAAAAACAATCTCATAATTCACAAGTGAACAGCTTATTATTATACTTTTTTGTGACCCATTTTGAAATAGTTTTTGTGTGAATGAGTTTGAAAAACTGTTGATAAACAATTTGATTTCGCAAAATTCAATGAAAACCTAAAATCAAAATACCGGACCACTAAATTTTTGCGATTTTTTACATTGCAATATTTTTGTTATTCTTTCTACTTAAAGAACGCACTTTGCAGAACATTGTAATTTAATTCAATAACATTTGTAACATTTATCTTGTAAATGTTACGAAAGCACTGCTTTTTTACTTTTTTTATACTGAGCTGTAGTGTGCAACAGATACAAAACTAAGTTTTTTCTTATTTCAGATTATTGCCCGTTCTTTTCTGAATGAGGACC